TACTTCTGAAGCAATTTCTAGTCTTCAGCTGCACAGCGCAAACAGCAACTGCAAGGCTTTTAACTAATTTGAAGAGACAAGATCATATTACCCCTTTGCTTGTATTGACAACAGCGCTTCACCTGGCTGATGCTGGGAATATAAGTTAGAGCACAAATGTTGCTCATCTGAAATAGCATACATTTCAAATGCTGCGTCCCATGTACTGACAATCAGAGAGAGAATATATATAACGCATATTGAAATTTCCTCCAATTGCTGCCTGTCGGTTTTACAACAGAGGTTTTATAGATTGTATATTAAGTTTCTTAATAGCCTTTCACAAAAGTACATGGTGCTCCCTGTACTGTAGACTCAGAGAGTCATTTCTCACCTCAGCTGGCCCAAAATTCCGCTGTAAGACTTCAAACTAATTAAATGAGACAAGATCATATTAACCCCATCAATGCCCCTCTTTACAAGCTGGTACACTCAGTACCCGATAAAAGATTATCCTCTGCTGACATTAGCACACTAGAGGACACATTTGAAGATATGCTGGATTAACTTGCATTAAACATCGATGCATTTTTCCTCCCCAACAACCGCCATAAGCTATAAATTCCACAAAAAACACATTTAATGTAAAAATGGCAAATTACAGATAAAACAGATGGTAACTCATGTCACACAGCTGTACACTACTTATTCTAGTCCGTGTTCTATCTTGCATCTAAAAATGAAAAAAACACTGAGAAGTAGCAGCTGGCAGAGTGTTTTGTGGTCATCCATCCAAAGAACAGAGTGCCTCATCATGTGTCCGAATTACAGCCAGCCAAATAACCCAAATAACAGGGGAAGTGAAAAATGCAGCACTCAACTGCTGTGGTTCGGGGCCGTAACAAGCTACAACACCTGTGATTTGTGGTTTGCCTGTTTTGCTGTATTTTGTGCTAGATTTCCATTGTCATCATGAGTCTAGTCTGGTTTTTGCTGTTTATTATGCACAGGTTCCACGTCGGCGACCACCTGCTTTCCACAGGAGCTGGCATTCATGCTTCCGGTACTTTCGTGGTGACCCCAGGCTTCAAGATTCCAGTGCTTTGGTGGTCTTAAAGAAGTTTACACTTTTAGGAGTTTTTTATTGCTTACTGCTGTTGCCTTTGGATTTGCATAGCACAGAGATAAGACACATAGTTGACTTGAATTAGATCATATAGACTGTCCATTCAGACTATTTGTATGTGGACATTTCTAAATGACTGGCATAATGCTCGCATTTCAACAACATAATTATATGAATGGCAAAAAAAAAAAATTTGAATTAACAACTACAAAACATTTGTTAAACATTAATACTGACATATCTTAAAGCCAATAATTGTAAGGAACAATAGATCTCCTGACAGATCATCATCCTATGTAACTGTCCAGCAACAGTTATTATTTGCCTAATCCTACTAAAAAATGTGTTGATTGTTGAAAGACTCCGATATTGATCCAGAAAAGGAGGTTTAACACTTATGGTCTTATAAATTCCACAAGAGGGAGTGTGTTGAGACTGAAATGTAGGAGTAGGCAGCTCGTTTCTCCTTCTACAGCAGCAAAGGGTTTTTCCCCTGGACTCTCAGCTGATGGCTCATTAATCTATTCTAGCGGAGGTCCCCTACGCAAGCAGCCTGTGCCAGTGGAGGACTTCTCATCCTTCGTCATTTTCAGCCCATGCTTTTACATAACTATGAGTATTAACAAGTTGAGGGGGAAGTTTCATGAAAGCATTATATCAAAGTAAAAACCTAAACCTAAAAATATGGAGATGTATTATTGCTGCTTCACAGCTGTGATAATAGCAAAGTTTGACAACGATATTTAAACTCAATTGAAATGGCTTGCTGTAGTTTACAGTGGTTGCAGGTTCTGCCAATTCCACTGAGCATCAACATCAGTGTGCAGCTCCGTGCACCTTAACGCCTATTGTCTTAGCGGACTGTCAAGTTGAGTCCTTCCAGCTCTCACTGACCTCCCCAGATGAAACTGTGGTCACTCCCAAGTCTTGACTGTAAGCATGTCTATCTGATGGACAAGTTGAATAATACATTCTGAAAAAACTGACAATATTAATAGAAAACATATGGTTGATGACAACGTGGGTTTTACTTCCACAGCTGAATGATAACATTGCTCCACTACTCATAAAAGTAATTGTTAAGATCTCACAATGTGGCAACAAAAGCTTAAGAGACGTCCAACAGGGGGCAAAAGATGAGTGATCAGAAGATCATACCGGTGGTAAACAACCAACAGCTTACTTAGATCAGCCACCATTTTATTTTGACGCAAAACCAGAGGTTGAGGGCTTCCTGTCGCAAAACAATCATGGCAAGTAGGTCGAAGTTGAACCAGGAGATCAGTTGGTAAACTGTGATGGATATTCACAATGGACAGTTTGGATATTCATTTTAAAAATGTGCTTTCATTTTCTCTGACCAAAGTTCAGTTAACCTGGGCTTGTGTATAGAGTGTTACATTTGTCAACAAAGAATTCTGACAAAAAATATTTGCTGACAACCAGCGTAGGAAGCTGTGGAAATGTTAGGTGAGTAGGAACGACAGAGAGAAAGAGTTTCTGCCAGAGTTTGGAAATGACAGCTGAATTTATTGAGGAGAGTACGTCTGTCAGATTACTGCAGAGCAGAGTGACACGGACACAGAGTGTGTGAACAAGTAAACAGAGCCTTAACAACTAACCTTGCTATAGACTTGAACGACACCTGTAACCATTGTAGCTGTATACAACAAAGATGGCGACAGCTGTAGCCTCAAATTGCTTAGATAACATAATAATGAAATCCTGGGCCATCCCATGTCCAGTTGTCTTAGTCGTTAGCAAAACACACCATCCAAAGCGATGCAGTGTTATCAATTGCGGCGCCTAGCGGCTGGCGGGTTAAGAGAGTGAGAGCATGAGGAGTCAGCCGGGAGTCAATGGCAGTACAAAACAGGCAATAACAGGTGTTTTGAGAAAGTGTGATTCATCGCAACCACAAGAGGTCCTTGAAAGTGCAGCCGTAACTGGCCACCCAAAATATTACATAGTTTGCTGTAGCAGGATGAGAGATTAGCCTTGGACAGACACAGAGGTGCACCCTCACTCAGTCACAGACACACAGACTCACACAGTCACACACATAACCTCTTATGATTCTTCTTGAAAACATGCGAGATATGATATTTCTGTCATATCTCCCACCCCTCCCTTTAAGTCAATTAGAGATGAGCTGTGTACATCTTTGTTAATAAGTGAATGTATGTGTTCAGTGAAGAAACATGAAAACTATCAATCCAGATCCAATGAGCATGATGGCTGTTTGTAAAACAGTGGAAATATAGTGTAGGCTACCCATGCAAATTAGCAACCTGTATACACATTTACAGTCAGACGGCCTGTGGGTGGGAGGCAGCAGGGCACTGAAAGGCTCCATTTACACACTTTTGATTAAACTGCAGTATATGCTGTGACACCCATCATGGCTGAAGTACTCCATTCACACATACTCTGCTTCAGCTGACAAGAGCAATTACATGTTGGTGATTATTTTACAATAGTCCTTCAAATTATACATCTCACTGCCCTCAGTGATTTCAGTGGACACTTGTCTGATATCAGGGTTTCAATCTCACAGCAACTGATCTGTTAGTGACACCATCACTTAACCACCACAAATGTGACTGCTTAGATGACAGCTCTGTCAGGGAGTCATGTCAGATTTTTGATTGCCTGACTGAGACTGACAGGGCATGCGGCTGTCTTTACAGAGTGATGATTTAGCTATATAAATGTGTAACATGGCAATGTGTCAGCACTCTAATCAGGTTGTAGTGCTGCTGTGCTTAACAAATTGATATAACTGCAACATTACACGTGTGTCATCATATAAGTGAATAAATTAGCAGACATCGGCAGTTAAGCAACATTTAAGACACGACTTCTGGATGTAACATTTCCACAACGCGTCACACCAAGTGAGGTCTGCAGCATGTACTGTACAAAAAACAAAATCTATCAAACTGTTTTTAATAGCATCTGATTGGCAAGCTGTCTTGGGACAGTTGGCAAATGGGCGGGCAGCGGAGGAGTTTAGAGGTGCTAAAGTTCAGGCAGGAGCGACGCAGCACTCTGTGTCCTGCCAACAGCCTTACAGTGGCGCAGTTCCTGACTAAGTTGTTGACCCATGGCCCCCACCTGTCTTGACCATGCATTATATGGGGGGGGGCATCACTTCCTCTCCTATGCTGCCTGCCACACCAGAAGGCTTTTGACTCATGCCCATCTGTCCTGGTAGTACATACATTAAGTAAAAGCCAAGCTATCGGCCCCCTGTCCAATTCACGAATGCCTTTATAACAAAATGTTGTATAGAGTGTGAACAGAATTTTGTATTTGGTACTACACTAATAGAGCAGACATGCAAAACATTTTTATCTTCGTGGAGATTAAAATGTAAAATGTTGTTGATGCTGAGTCATTTTTGAGAATGTAGTTAGTCGTGCTGTTGTATCAAAGTATATGACATTCATTGGTGTTTCAAATGTCCTGACACATATCAGAGGGACATAATATAAGAAATACTTCTCAGTATGAGTTTGCATGCCTATGTCATTACCACAGCAACCAAAGCAGACCAGACAACAATGCCTGAAAATACAAATAGGACCTAATCACTTACTTACATCAGTGAGAAGTCACTCCTTGACATTCGATTATAGACACACATCAGATTTGAGTCTGAACACATTCTAAGAGCTTTTTAATGTATGAATACATTAGTGGATGAATATATTCTATTGGCAATAATTATAATAAGAAACAAGCAAAATTACACTGTTGCTTTTGTTTGAATACTTTTACACAGAACTGATTTGATCTGAATGAAGCTTTGACTTTTTTTTTAAACATTTTAACAGACAGACATTAACTTTATTTTGAAAAACTTGCACAAATAACAAAGATGCAAACGTACCTGACCTGGCTGGACGTCTAAGTAATGAAGCACCTCTTTAAGCATAACAGGTGTGTGAGGAGGCTTTGGGTTTAAAACAGAAGACAGTTCTTCAGATCTGTCAAGGGGACCAGGACCAGAAGATGCACAAGCTGTAGAAGAGTGCAGGCTTAACTTCCATAACCTCCATGCTCTCCACACAGTACGATTTGTTTTCCATAACATTGGGTTGGAGCACACTGAAAAAAGCATGATCCCTTTAATGATCTATGGAGAAAACAAGAGCAACAACGTGTTCAAACCAATTTAGAGGAGCAGGGTCTGTAACACTGTGATAGGTGACCACAGATCTGAAAATAGCCAAATAAGTGTTTGTATTTACTATGCTATTATTTGGAGTAGTGATCAAGTATAATAATTTGGAACACAAATATTAGGCCAACATCATAAGAGCAAACTTGCAGATATATTGTGCTGGAGGCTTTTCAACTGACTTAAACAGCTGGTGTCCAACCAAAACAAGAGGGCATCACAGTTTTATGATTTCAAGACGTTCGAGATCCCTCTGAAGGTTGTGGCTCACCACACCCTCAATACAAGTAATTACATCCGTGGTTAATTAGTTGAACATTTTGGCATTCTACATGAACACTACCTGCAGTGAGCCACTTGGTAAAAAGGGTATTCGGGTGTTTCCTGGCAACAAGATGCATTGAAAATTAGACATCAGTTAGTGACGCACGATTCTAATGAAATAGAAATATGTGCAGGAGCTGAAGAAATTCAATTAATTTCCACAAAGCATTGATGAACACAAAGCAAATGTCCAATGGCAGCAAAGCACGACACGGTACCTTACAGGATTCAAAATCAACTTTGTATACACATTATTATTATCCTTTACTAGAAGAGCAGATAAGGGAATGAATGATGGACTGTTTGAAACACTTATCACGTGTGAAGTATTTTGTGATTATTTTGTGTGGCATCGTTTCAACTTAATATAACCTATGTATCATGATACATAGGTCTATTAAACAACCCCTCTGGTAGAAAAATACTAGTGATAGCGGAATTGTTATTCAATTTGAGGAGCAGGTATTGTTTTCATGGCCCTCTTCTCGTCATGTCTATTTAGTTGCTGTAGCCATTAAGCTAGGCGTGGAGCTAAAAGGTCACATTAGCATAACTTTACTAATCTGAGTAACAGTTAATTGGTAGCTGCTAACAATGTCTCATTGTACCAGTGGAGTGGATTCAAGTGTATGTTGCTATGTTGTTGGATCACATACAAAAAACGCCGTTTTTGTGTGAAGCAGGTCAACGTTAGCTAACTAACTTGCTAAAAACACAAGAGCTAACAGAGCCAATGGAGTTAATTTACGCATGCGCAGTCTAACCTTAACAGGGGCGTTAAAGATTTGTTTCGCGTAGATCTTGGAGATGAGATAAGAAGGGTTATGCAACATTCAGTACACCATGTGCTAGTGCTACTCATTATCACGTGTGTGCAGTGGCTGTAACGTTATGTCGTCAATAGCTGGGCTGTTTAAGCCTGACGATAGAGCGATATGCTCTATTGTTGGATATTGTTGCTATGCCACCATGTTGGGTTCCTACGCGCGATTACCTACACGTACGACTTCACGGATAAGGTCGCAACAGGACATTCAGTTAGAAATGTTTGACTAAGGTGACTTGTGACGGAGACACGTGTATACGCCTCTGAAGGGTATCAGTAGCTTACCTTGGTAGAACAGAACGTAGCTCCTCCTCCAGCAGCATGTCCGGTGCGTCACGGTGACGTCACTGTAACTCACATCCAATCAGCTGCGACAGAGGAAGAGGGCTTTATTTTTGAAAATATTGGCGCTAGTTGTGCTAGCTATGACCAGCTATCTAGCTATGTCCAAGTTACCCTAGCGAATATATCTTTCCAATACGAGCTACTGGTGTACAATCAGAAAAAAAACGGGTTACAGGAAATTAAAGATAACCGTTAATGACAAAAGGTAAGAAGTAACGCTAAATTAATCGCACACGGTGAATTCTACATAAAGAAAACAACGCTAATTTACCGTTGGAAGTTGTGCGAGAGCTGTTAGCTATTATAGCTAACAGCTATAATAAAAAAGCATCTTGGTCTAGCTATTATAGCTAACAGCTATAGCCATTATAGCTAACAGGCGTTAGCCAACCCTTGCCAAGTTTACGTTTTCAGGTTAGCTTTTAATTCTATCGCATTTTAATGTGTCCTTGAATCAAAACAGTTTTGCTAACATGTAGCTGAGTATCTTACCCAACAGTGAAACCTTTTGTGGCTTGAGAGTAATGTTAGTAATCATATTATTCATCAGGTTAACTGTTGGGTATGAATGTATTGTTATTACCGGTACATTTAACGTTTCGTCTTTGGATTTTATCCAGGTGATAACTGCCACTTAGCTACGATAACGTTAGTCTATTAGTTTCATTGCAATGTGTAGCAACGGAGCATGAGAATCATTTGTATTAAGTTATCTGTGCGATGGTAGGGACGGTGTGCATAAAGATAATGCCAGTAGCATCAGTTTGCTTTTGCACATGTGTACACTGTTACCAGGTTATTTGGTACGCTTTGCTAAAACCAGTGTATTTATACAACAGAACTTAAAATGTTTTCATCATATGCCAAACCTATTTAAAGCTATATCAAGGAAGATTGGCCAAATATTAGATCCTATTTGATATTAAAAAATGTACGTCTGTATAAAGCAAAACTACAGCCTCCAAATTACCATCAATTTGACTCAAGACATCTCTGAAACATTTTCAACAAAACTAAATGTCCTTCATGAGATTATAGTTTATTGCAGGGCTGTTGTATTCAAATGCATCTCCCAGCCCTCATACAGGACATCCATGGTTTAACTAGCCTACATTAATGTTATCTTACCCTCTACTGACACAAAATGTTGAAACAATGCTCTGCTCAACATGTACAAAAAGAACATTTTACAACAATAATTTGAATTCACTCTGATTTGAAAGCATATCAATTATTATCTGCAATGTCATCGAGAATAAGCTGAGACAAAAATTCTAGGGAAGCTCGTGAAAATTTTTAGATTATTTCAGTCTGGTAAATGTTATTTATATAGCCCATGATCACTAATTTGATTCAATGGCTTTACAATCTGTACAGCATATGACACCGTCTCGAAGTGCTGTCTTCTGTCCATTTCCACTGTTTCTATTTGTATGATTGTTTGAGCATATTGGTAAAAATGACACTGATGATTTTGATTTGTAATGTGGAAAATATAGTTAACCTTTTTGTTTCTTATTTTGCAGTAAGACTTCAATCACTTCAGAAGGACCAAAATGGCAAGTGACGTGTGCAGCCACGTAAAGGTGGTTGTTCGAGTGAGGCCAATTAACGAGAGGGAGAAGCGTGAAAACTATCGAAATGTGGTCCAGGTTGTTGACAACCACATGCTAATATTTGACCCCAAGGAAGAGGATACATCATGTTTTGGGTCACAAAGGGGACGAAACAGAAATGTCAGCAAGAAGGCCAACAAAGACCTTAAGTTTGTTTTTGACCAAGTCTTCGGTGAGAACTCTAACCAAGATGACATCTTTGAGAGCACCACTAAAGGAGTATTGGACAGTGTGATGAATGGATTTAACTGCACAGGTAACAAATTCATGTGTAAAAGATGTATAGGAACAGATAGCATCTTGGTCTACAGAAAGGAGAGATTATGTGACACTTTACATTATCTTTTTATTGCTAAATACTCCTTTCGAGAGGCTGTGCACTGACTATATACAACCACTGCTCTGCCTGACTATTGTGATTGAAGCTGTGGATGTGGTTATATAAATGGTGTTATGGGTATGGCTATAGTAGCTATATTGTGACTACACTTCACTGTTTCCATCAACATTACCCAAGAAAGCATGTTAAGGCACACCAGGTTTTGAGCCTGCGCTGCTTCTATCAGATATGACTGACGTGTTCCCAATAAACCACAGGAGTTCAAGAATACAGTAGCTCACGTATTCCAAAGTAATGCAAAACTTAAAGCAAGGGAACATATAATTCATTGCGAGGTATTGTGAGGGAAGTCAAAAGTACTTCATGAAAGAAAAGTCCCTCCATAACCCATCAGGGGCTCTGTAATAAAATGAGCTAATCTGCCGTGGCAGTAAACTTTTTAGATTTTTGACTGCCTCTCTTCAACCCCTGCATGACCAAATACTGAAGTTCAAATGCAGTTATGAGCCACTCCAGCACCAAGTAAGAGCCGTGTTTTTTCTCAACATGGCTTGCTGACTCATGCTGCTGTATCATTAATTGAAACTGCTGGCTACTCTTAATTTACTTTGTCTGCTCCAAGGTTCACTTGCTGGTCACTAGCTCACAACAATGCAGTACCAGTGTTTTAAATCAGCACAAATGGGAAACTTTGACGGCTAGTGTACTCGCTGTAAACAGAACCCGAAACAAATATGTCTTTAGAGAGTCATCATTGATCCATTGAAAGATGCCTAGAGCAGCGAAAACTCTTGATCCTGCTGAACAATATTCACTCTGTTGGCAGTTTATTAGGTACACCTAGCTACAACTAATGTAGTCTAATACAGCAGTCCTGCAGTAAATCCTCCCGTTATGAATGTTATAATGCTCAGCTTCTGTTGAGGCCTTGATTCAAATGTATCATCATTTTGTAGGTTGTAGTTGGTGGTGCTTTTGAACTTATACAGATGGGTGTTTCTGTTATTAAGCCTAACCTCATTGATATAAATCAGGGGGATGAATTAATAGAAGCACCTTTCTGTGTCCAGCAATACAATTCACCGGCACCACAAACTGCACCTTCCAAAATGATCATACGGTCGAAGCAACTCCTCTCTAAAACAAAAGCTTTCAACAAAAGCTAAGTATTCTAACCCTCATGAAGGTCGCATTTATTGTAAGAGTGTGTATTACAGTGCATTGGTGTACCTAATAAACTGCCAACTGAGTTTATACTGGATGCAGAATGCTAACGAGTTCAAAGCATGTCTTTTAGTTGGTGTTTTGACAGTATTACATACTGTAAGCCCACTTTCAAATGTAGGCTGATTAGAACATCACTTACATTTTTCACATTACGATTTGTGGTTACGCTCCATCCAATGTAAGATGGATGTTCTAGTTGTTGCGATAAGCATTTATTTCTTATATAAATGTTTTACTTCATTTAAATTTGTCTTTCACTTGCAGTGTTCGCCTACGGTGCTACTGGAGCAGGCAAGACGCATACTATGTTAGGCTCTCAAAATGAGCCTGGGGTCATGTACCGCACCATGACAGAGCTGTTCAAACGCATGGATGAGGCCAAGGAGGAGAAAGAGTTTGCTGTTGCTTTCTCATATCTTGAGGTGAATATTTGTTTGTTTTTGCTCTTTTTGTTCTCTGTGTCAGTGCAGAACCTGTTCTTATTTTGTGTCAAAGTGATTCTCAGACTTAGACTCCTTTCCCGTACAAAGCCTCCCTTCACCCACAAAATGACCGTTTGTATATCTATTTCTCACCCCATGTTACCTTGAATTCTTTTAGAATTTCAGAACTTTTCTTTGTTTATCTCGCATGCCTCCACGTTGAACGAAGATGAAGATGAATTGAAGTACCGTACTATTTAAAACACTTCTGCATAAACAATCTCATGTGCAAGTCCAGGCGAGTCAGAAATGTTTAAAATAGTACGGTTTTAGCGTAAATCCATGTGTTTGGAAAGTACTGAGCATTCAACTGGATAAGTTAAACTTGAATTATAATGCACGACGTGTGTGAGAGTTTGTCAACAGCTTTTTTGATATAGTTTTGCTGTTGTTAAAAGCGGATCCTATTTATTTTAATTCATCAAGATCTTTCTCAGTTTTTTCATCTTCACTCACTTTGGAGGCATGCGAGAAAAACAAATTTATTCTAAAAGAATTCAAGGCAACATGTGGGGAGTAATTAATATACAAATGGTAATGTTGTGGGTAAAGTATTCCTTGAACCAAATCATACATTTCTGTCTTGACTGACCTCTCTGGGTGGTTTTGATGAGATTGCAGCTGTTTGCAGTTATATTTGTTGTTTGTTTACAGGTTTACAATGAACAAATCAGAGACTTGTTGGCTAATGTCGGCCCTCTTGCCGTCAGAGAGGACGGCTCTAAAGGAGTGGTTGTTCAAGGCCTCTCGCTGCATCAGGTCAGTCGCAGCAAATATATCCTACATACTCCCCCATGGCATCATAGTGTGTATTAACGGTAAATACTGGTGTCATTGCAAAGTCTATTTATTAAAACCCATTTAAGTTTCCCTCAGGTGCTTTTGCAATACATAATGTCATGTTTTTAATTAGAAAGTCATATTTCTCAGAGTAGATGACAAGAAATGTAATGTTCTATTTAATGTTGGGCATCCTCGCAGTTCTGTAGCCGTGGGGATTTATTGGGTCACACTACATCTATGTATTTTCTTTGTTTTTCTATACAGCCCAAATCTGCAGAGCACATTCTTGAGGCTTTGGATTCTGGCAATCGTAACCGGACACAGCACCCCACTGACATGAATGCCACCTCTTCCCGGTCCCATGCTGTATTTCAGGTATTTCAGTCCAGAGTTATTGAAGTCCCAAGGCACAATTAGGCTGTAGCATGATGTCAAAACGTAGAATAAGATAATAGAAATACAATAACGAGCAAAAGAATAAACATAAATACAAAAGCTGAACAGTAAACTTTTCCGGCCGTTACTGATATCTTCATTTTATAAGATGATAATTATTTGCAGTATCTTGTTTCATTACAAACGTCTAACATTGCACCACCGTTTGCTTCTTGATGGTCTTGAATTCAAAGTTTTGTATTATTTTCTTCAGATATATTTAAGACAGCAGGACAAAACCGCCAGCCTCAATCCTAATGTCTGCGTTGCCAAAATGAGCCTGATCGATCTGGCCGGCTCAGAGAGAGCCAGCGCCACCAACACCAAAGGTGCACGTCTGCGGGAAGGTGCCAACATCAATCGCTCACTTCTTGCCCTGGGAAATGTTATCAATGCACTTGCTGACCCAAAGGTGAGTTTATATTACCCCGTGTATACTGTAGATAACATACAGAGTGTTGTTAAAAAACAATGTGGAAAATGTGGTCTCTTTTTAAATATATACGTGTTTAACATTTTCGGTTTGCTGGGAACCCGTCTGTCAGATGTCTCAGTGACAGCTGGAGGTTAAGATTAGTGATCTGTTTACAAAGGAGTTAACATTCAAACAGTGTTGTGTGCCTGGTTTTGTAACACTTTTGGATGCACAGAAGACACCTCCTGGTTAGCGAAGACAGCTGTGCACAGCAGCATCCGTCAGACTGTCGAAAGTGAAGAAAGTGTTTGGTTAGCTTGGTAACAAAAGACATGCTACTTTGTGAATCACTGCCTAACAAAAGTTAGAATAATGATTTGTTTTGAAACTTTTGAAATAATGTTACACCGTGCTTTACAAATAACGTAAAGTCGAGCGAGATTCTACAATTTAAAACCAATAAAGGGAATCAAATGCACACAAAAATTAAACAAATTAATTACTTAATTAAAGAGGAAAAACAGAAGACACCGTCTGTTTGCTGATATATAATTTAGTTATTGCTGAATTTTAGATTCTGAGTAGTCTGTATTGATAAATTGTATAATTTGGTTGTGGCATTACTAGCTATTCACTCTGTCACCAACTACAGATGTTGACGTTACGTTTACAGACAATCTGACAAAGAATGTCAGTCACGACACATTAAGAAATATATTATATATAGATTTGTACAGACGGTGCACAACTACAGTGAATGTGCTTCAACTATGTTTTGTATTTAGTACTGTTTTTATGCTTGTATATGGTCAGCAAACCATCTGAAATTTTGCGTTATCTATATTATTATGGTTATAGGTATATGAACTTAAGCACACAAGCCTCCATATATAAAACGCAGAGCCTGGGAAGTCGCAAGTCAACTGAGTATTTGGGTATTATTTCATTCCAGTTGCATACATTAACCTGCCAAGCAGTCTTCTCATTTTACACACCAGTCTCGAGGGATGAGGCACAAGCAGGCCACATGCATTCAGGAAGTGCTGTGCAAATGTACCGCGTCCATGTTGAAATGTGATCCTTCTTCAACAGGTTACTGAATTCATGTGTTAGAACTGTGTCCAGTGAGTATTATACCCTGCTCACCATTCTTGGGTGTTGCCGTCATGGACGTAGTTTGATCTGGTCCACTTACAATGCCCACCACAAATCCCCTCTCCTTCCCCACCCTATCCCCATGATTATTGGTGCTGCAGTGTTTACTGTTGGCAGGCAAGGAATTCATGTTGTGGCCATTGTTTACAGGAAAGAATGTCCCCACTTGTGTCTGGGCTGACATGCCATTCGTTTGAGTGAAGAAGAATGTCCGCTACTTCTGTTTGGGCTGTTCAGTATGTCATCCTCATGCTATGCTGCACAGAGGTTTTTGTTGTAAGTTGTTTGCCTTAAGGCGATGTCCAAAGCAATGCAGACACATTTGATGCTGCATCCTTTCTCTCCATCTTGGCCATCCATCCACACAAGGCCAGTGTTTGCCACCAACAAAAAAGGGGCTTTCTAAAAATGTTGTCCGAAGGGGATATCAGCATCCTTGAAGTATTGTTAAAGCCACAGTTGGTAACTTTAATAAAAACAACTTTCTGTCATTTTTGCTCAGACTGTCACAATATCCTACATGAGACAGATTATCTGTGGTTAACTAGTAGCATTTACAGATTGTGTTCAAATTACCGTTTGCTCTTGCAGTTGTTTGATAACAGAAAGACATTGGGACTTGAATTTTGTATTCTGTGGTCTGTTATGATGAAAAACAATGTGAGTGATCTGGAGAGTAGAAGGTGACGGAACAAAGCACCACATTGTATGCATCACCAGGCATAGCCCCTTGTCACTGGGTTCCTTTTGAAGCCAGCACTTGTTTTTCACGGTTGTTTTACACCCTCCATTCACACTAGTGCCGCTCCCTCCATTCACCTGCAATTTTACATTGAACCTGTGACCGATTCAATATGATTGACCAAACTAATGGAGTTAAACAATTGAGTTCCCTTTTAGAATGAGTTTGGATGCCTGCGCTCGTGTTCTTATTAAAAAGGTGATTTTGATTTTTTTTTTTTCAAATTGGCACAGCTATCCTGAAACTCCCTGGACCTGACAGGAACTATAACTAAGGTCTTTGAATCCAGATGTAGGCTTCATGTTTTTCCAGGGAGAAGTGCAGGCGCAGCTGCTAACCCCAAAAGAGATTATTTTACACTCCTTTGTTACTTAACTTTAATGTGACTTTCTGCAATCCCAGTACCCACGAGATTGTGACTCACCTAAGCAGCTGTAGTCTATCTAATGCCATTATTAAAGACTGAGCTGTGTTCACAGACCAGCTGCAGAAAGACTCCAGACCAGTGCTGTGGATGGCTGATCCTTGTTTTAACCCTAAAATGAACGCTCCATAGTGAATTTTGCTACCCGTTAGGTTTATTGGTCCCCACCAAATAGTGTAATATGACTAAGCGTCTCTTGTTGAGCTTGTCCAGATGGAGAATGCATATTGAGGCGCACCCCACATTTGTGTGTCATGGTTGACTGAACTGAATTGAAATCACCAATCCTGTTATTGTTCATTTCAAACTTTCATTTGTTGAATAAGTAAACTCGATAGAACCACAGGAGTGTTGTTGTTTTTGATTTTCTGAGCTGCTTGTTTGTGTACACCTTTGTCATCAAAAATGGTCTTATTTATTTGGGCTAATGTTGTCTTTTTCTTCTTTGTTTTAGAGTAAGAAAACTCATATACCGTACAGGGACAGCAAGCTGACACGGCTGCTTAAAGACTCCTTGGGGGGCAACTGCAGGACGGTTATGATTGCCAATGTTAGCCCCTCTTCCCAGTCATACGATGACATCCACAATACACTGAAGTATGCCAACAGGGCCAAGGAGATTAAGTCCTCGGTTAGTATTAAAGTTATTATATTGTTTTTAAATTGTCAATTGTTATAAATAATGTGATACTTGAGCTATAGATGTATGAATTCCTCTTTACTCATTACGTTTTTCTCTCTTCCCTTAACTTTCAGCTGAAAAGTAACGTAGTAAGCCTGGACAGCCACATTGGCCAGTATGCAGTAATATGTGAGAAGCAACGGCAAGAGGTACCATGAAACAACAACACTACCCTGCTTCATTCTTCAGAAGAAGAAAAAAAAAACAGAAAATATTTTTCTCATTTGAACAGTCGGTGGTTCAATTCTGATTATTTCAATGTTCTGTTCTCTAAAGATTCTACAATTGAAGAAAAAACTGACAGAATATGAGAAGAACACAGTGCACGGGGCTTCTGACACGATCTCATCTCAGAAACAGGCAGAGTTCAAAAGGTAGGCACATAAATAATTGTCATTCAGATTGTAACCCGAGACATCTCGGAGGTTGTTTCTTTATGTGTAGTAAACTCTGTTGTTGTAGACCTTGTGATTGGAATACACACACTGATTGCAGGCAGTGGAAGATGAAATTAGCCACGATGGTCGAGGCCGTACAATCAAATATGCTGTTCCAATTGACTTGTATTTTTTTAATGTTTCTTTATTTTTTTATTGTCATTTATGATACAATCAATATTCCAAACATACATTTTATCATCATTGAGCCTTCTATTGTATTACCTCAGCAAGTCCCTATAGCGAGCATATTAGTTTGCAAAGGAGCAGTGGCTCTTCTCCAATCTCTGACTTTTGTCACTCCCAAAAACAACTCCTTCTAGCCGAGTGTAGTGACTTCAGCCTTGGAGGTGCGAGATGCTCTCTGCTCCGAGGCTGCACCTAAAAATATTCATGGTGACCTATAATGTTCTGTATGATAAATTGATAATTATGGGGAGAAACTAAAACACTCTTATCGCTGTAAATGATTTGGTTGTGTTTGGATAGCCTGCTTTCACCCTTTACTTTTATAAACAAAATCCCAAAGTTCAAATGTAGTTTTCAATCAGGAGCAGCACTTTGAAGGTGAGGTGCACCAGCAAAATGTTGCTAAAATAGAAGCAAAGCAACTTTTTCTTACCCAAAGCAACTCTACTCCCTTTGATCGGTAACTCACAGTGTCTGTGTGGACGTCATTAGTTGAAAATGCCAACTGCTGTTTATTTATTTGTTTGTGCTGCCTTGCGCACAAACTCTCAACACAATGTATTAGTGGTGTTTTTGACAGCTGACCTACCCAGAGTGCATTGGTGATCCAATGCGACTTCTGCTAAACAGCTTGTTTGTCTTACTTCTATGAAATGCTATGCCACGAAATGGCCACTTGAACCTCCTGGAAAACAGTGCATCCTCATAACAATCTAATGTCCCTCTTTACCGATCTCTTTCAAAGGGAACTAATACTAAAACTGTTTCATTTCAGTTTTTATAATGTGTTTTAGTGTTATTGGTTTGGGATTAAAACTGCAATATCGTACAAGTACCTGAGTAAGAATTTGAGCTCTGCAACATACCAATATTTTTATACAGGAAGACTTTTTTGACTTTTTTTTTTTTACACAATCACCCCTAACCTACACTGCATAGAGCAGCCAGATACTAAAAAAATGACAAAAAGTGTGTCGTAATTAATAAAGTTTTAAAGACAAATTCATGGTAAAGAAAGCAGTATTCTATTTTTTTAATTTAAAACTAAGTTGTGTTTTGTAAATTGCTGCTATTTCTATGCTAACATGTTATTTGTCTTTCATTAAAACAGGGTGACCCATTTAAAAACATTATATATGACTGAGGACTGCTGGTTTTCAATCTAGCAATCTAGTCCGGGACTATTTTACTTCTTGGATTAAAAAACAGCTGTGCTCTGAAGCCCAAGAATCAAGATTGAAAAACGCTGGCACAGTTTTAATATTTGGGGGGGGGGGGGGGCAACTTAATTTCCTTTTTATAGCTGCCACAAACATACAGTTGGTACCTCTGTGTATAAAAGAATACTAGTGTTTTATATAGCTTCTACAATCAACATTAGTTTAACTATCTTTTGTTTTAAATGTGGAGTTTTAATTTGATAGGGACAGCTGTGCAGAACATTTATTTTAATTCAAATAATATATACACATTGATTTCTTTTACATAAATCAGATTAACCACATCCCATCGATTCATCTTTAAGGCACACAGTGACATCTGTTGGGGTATTTGGGCGGGGGGCGGGGGACATGGAAAAGCTGAATGAGTCTCACTCCCACACATTTCATTCACTAGCATCAGAATTCACAACTCGCACAGAGAGAGGCTCTGAATAGAGGCTGCACGCTTCTCACGCTATTAAAAATTCAGCAGTCTAGCACAAGGCCACGACGTCTCCTACGTCACCGGAGTTACATTGAAGAGTGCAGTCACATTTCAGCGACAGCTCTCCAGTCCTTATTTACCTGCATGCCTCTCCTGTCTCTCCTACTGCTTTAACTCAACCAGACAGCCACATGCATCCAATCGTCATATCACCGCATCTCTGCTCCAAGAATACATATATACATCATATAGCTAAGAATATCTTTCTGGCTCAGTACGAACAGAACTGGCATGTAGTTGAAGCTCGAGATTATATGAAAAGATTAACAGCATCATGGAGTATACTTGTATTAGCCATGCAAGCATTTGATGAAATACATTGGTACATTTTGATATTAGCATTATTAGATGTATTACTGTATTTCAAGTGGTTTTGACGTGTTTATAAAGCGTTTGAATATCTCATGGGCTTCAGTGTGTTAAATACTCGGAACAAGTGGTTTGTAAGAGCTTTTTGGCACAGCCATTAATATAAATTTGCTCCTTACATGTGGCACACCAGCTTCTAATCACATCCTGCTTGAATCCCTGGGATGATGGCGATGTTTTATTGGATTGCATTATACTAAGAGGTGTTTCTAATATTCTGTCCCATGTATTTGAATCAAAGTGGACCAAAAAAAAAACACACCTTTTAATAAAATGCAGTCCAAAGCAACACTACAGCCGCAAAAATGACCAGAGTTCAATGAACGCCAGTCTGACAGTACCAGCTAAAACTGAGACACAGTTTATCAAGGCTATTGTAATCAATTAACTAGATGCTATTTCTGTTTACATATATTGCATGTTCCTTGAATTGCAAAGAAGTTGAGACTAGAATGACCTGTTTTGTTTTTTTTTAATGAAATGAATGTGCCAAAGTGATTTTAGACTACTTTTAAATCACTTTTGTTACATTTAAATTTTCTGATGCTGCCATTTTTAAGGGGAAGCTTCTTGCAATTGGACATCACTCTTGTCTCTCTCTTTCTCTTTCTCTTTCTCTTTCTCACTCTCTCTCTCTCTCTAGGGTGTCGGAAGCTCTGCAGCGAATCTTCTCGGACCGGACCCAAATCAGGAAAGAGCAGCTGGATCTGGAGAGACAACTGAAGGAGAATGAGCTGCGCCAGCGGTACACTGAGGAGGACAACCTGCAGGTCCAATGTTTCTGTGCCAAGGAAAAGACTGAGAAGGTAGCTGATGCTTACGCTGCGATCCACAGAGTCCATCATCCCCGCAGAAAATCAGCTGCTGAGTCATCATTTCACTTCTCTGTTCTCTATAGTTGTCTTAGCCTCTCATTTACACCACTGCAAGACAGGGTCACTGCTCCCCAGCTCCTGGCTCCTCTTTGCCATTTGAGCCCCGGTGTTAGTCCCAGCTGTAAATGCCATTGAAAGTATAGAAAGTGAATTATTAGTACCAAACTTTGCAGAATTGTTCACTGTCTCCCAATACAAACTAAACTGTGGGAGCGTTTACCAGAGAGTATGGCTGAATCATCGATCTGCATTTCAAAACAATTATTTAAAAAAGGTTACAGTAGTTGTAAGTTACAAGTAATTGATTCACATTAACTTCTCAAATAATATACAACAAATGCTTAATATTTTTAGATTCATTAATATTGCTTGACTGGAGCTTGGTGACATATTGTTGTTAGCAGCTATAATTATTGTTATTTAGACCACATACTTAATAGTGTGTTATACTAATGCTCGCTCAAACAATGGACGATTTGTGGTATCGCCTAAATGACTTTTGTTGTCTCTTTTAATAGGCTACTTGTAAGCACGAGCGGAAGATTGCCAGCTTATGCACTCGGCAGCAACACATTCACAAACGTTTGAAAGAGACCGAAACACGTTTCCTGGACAACGACGGCTTGCTTCATCGCGTCGAGAATGAGATTAAGCTGCTGAAGTCGAATGATCAGACCTCAGAGGTACGTAGAACTAATTGACTCTCACATTTACTGGTGCTGAAAAACAGCTGAGTGATTGACTGGCAAATATATGTTTTGTTGTGACGAAAGTATATTATTGACATTTCACACTTGTTTTGTTTAAACAAAGAGAAGTGCTTGAATGTTAAGTGTAATCTATATCTTTGATTATAACACGTGTGTAACCAAAGTGCTTCTAGCCGCGTTTATGAATTCTAACCGCACTTGACACCGACATTGGTGATGGAGTGCATAAATTTTTGTCAGACTTTGGACAATAGATCAGTAGAGGCGAACAGTCAGTAAAACTAGTTACTAAAATGACATAACTTGCGGACAGGATGAAATATTTTGTATGAAGACAAACGAGCATGATTGGACATAGAGAAAAACTTCACAATGTGGGTTACATCCTTCAAAACTCATCGCTTGGTGTTTTTTGTTTGTTTATTTTGGAAGGTAGGCTGTGTCTCTACTGGTGTCGTGACTGTCTTTGTTTTCTTCCCATCTGTTCTCCTAGTAATTAGAACCGTGCTCATTTTATTTCTCCGGCTCACTCGTGGATCACTGAAGAGAATAAATCAATACCCTTTACTCATCCCTCACACAGCAGCCAGTTACCTAAAACCATGCCCATGTTATTTTTTTCTTCTTTATCCTTTCTTCCAGGAACTGACCCAGAACTATGACGCACCCACCGGTCAAATGTTCTCTCTGCTGTTGTTTCGTAGTTTCTTTACGTCAGAGTTCTTTCCTTTTTTTTCCTCCTCTCCCTTATCCTGAGCAGATAGCTTTTCTGATGAAACATGGATGAAAACAGAACTTTGCATCTTCTCTCTATAGTATCTTGACCTCTAACCACCCATCGTTTCTTCTAATTCTGCCCACCAGGGTGCTAATTCAATATGCTGTTATGTTAGAATGCTTATTGCCTCATCATTTATGCTCTCTGAACTAATTTATCTGTGGTGTTCAGGTTTTAGATAAGAGCCTACATTGCCACAGACTGGAGCTGCAGGTTAATGACCTCAAACAACATATTAAGCAGATGGTCGGGCTAGCTGCACTGCAGGATCAGGAGAACAAGCGTATGCAGAAGTAGGTTGACAATACTAACAACCAATTCAGTGTAGCTGAAGATACTGCACCTCATCTCAAGAAATATCTCAATAATATTTTTCCATTGCATTTCAGAATGGTGAACATCTTGTTGCCAGCTTATAGTCGGCACTACTCTGCGTTGCGGGGTGCTGGGCAGGTCACCGCCGCAGACGAGATGGAGAACCATGAACTAGAGCACCTTGTGTTGAGGGAGAGAGGCGTGGTCTGGGCCGACCAGGAAGGGGTGGGGATCGGAGAGGGGTCACAGGAGACGAATGAGGTGGACCGCAGCGAGTTGGCACCTGTCCTGTTTTTCTCACATCTGCTATACCACCAGAGTAGCCCCTGCAGTAAGTCATCATACTCCTATCATTCATTGTTCTGTTGTTTATTGAGCATACTTTTACGTGGATTCAATTTGGATAGAATTACAAAACTAGTGACGGTTGGAAAATATGGTAGAGCAAATTATGAGTATTTACATTATCAATTAATATGGCAATTATGAGTTTAGATTAATCCATGAGTTGGTTAGTCAAGAAAGTATAAGAAGGTGAAAAATGCCCGTCACACAGTCTCAAAACTCAAAGTCTTACATTTCTAAGGATTTCTTTAAAAAAAGAGAAAAGCAATAAATTATTTTAGTCTTAAAATGTACTGCCATACAGCCTGAATGGGAAGATGCCATTTTTGCTTTATAAATACATAAAGACCTGACCACATGACTGCAAAATGCTGGAGAAACCAAACATTAGATGTTGCAGTAATTGGTGATTGCTTATGATAAAGACAACGGCTTGGAAAATCTCCATTGAATGTTATGTTAACAGAAATTGAGATAATGCTCCAACGTAAATGAATTGAGAATAGTCAAAAATATATCAAATAGGCCATTCATCCCTCTGACATGCAGAATCTCAGCAGATACTTTTTTATGTAAATATGTTTACGTGAAGTTATATTGGCTTGATCGGGGTTCCCACGCCGACTGGAAAACAGTTGGCCAATTTTACAGTCATGGGTAACAAATGGAAAATGACAGAAAAAGTCAAATGTCCGTTAGCTGAGAGCAAACTGCAATGCTATCTATCAAAGCTCCACCAAACGGATGCCATTGCCATCTGAAAGGGTTAAGTTATATTCAGGATCGTATAACGTTCAGATGGACGAGACTATTTTGAATATGCTGCTCCCAGTTAGGTTGTGATGCTGCTTTTCTTTAAAACAATAATTACACAATTGCAGCAAAAATTTGTTTGCACATAGTTAAAATGAAAATTTGGACGATGAACCAAAGCTGGGTAACAACAATCAATTCCTATGATAAAGTCTTATCATTTGAGAGACATTAAACTCTGCACCTGTCACCTCAGTTCCACTGCTTGCTCAATTCAAACTGTATTACATTCAGTACTTCTATGAAACTGTTTTTGTGGAATTCCAACTAAACTTATTGTCAGTCGGACAAAGAATGACAAGTCCTGAATAAAGATATTGGTGTCAGCCTCCTGTGGATCATGGAATACAGCTTGAATGATTAAAACATGTTTGTTTGAGACCCAAAACACTCCAGGTTCACTTGAGCTTTGGGCAATTCATTATAAATGACAGCTGTTTCTTCTGGCTTCACGTCTGGGCCACAATGCACTGTGCATCATGCGTGGGATTTTGTGTGAGATTTGATTTTCTTGAACATTGTGCAATAGCCAGATTGACTCTTTCTAGAAAAGAAATAGACAGTAGACACAATGAAATGTGTGTAATCATAGTGTTGTAAAGTGGTGTTTCACCTTGGTAGTGTTTCATATTGTTGCCAGAAAGCAACACATTTAATAACATTTTCACTGAATTCCTTTGACTGACTTTGAAACTCCAAGAAATAAAAGTAAGCGAGCACTTTTCAGACATTTAGTAACAATGTAACATTTTTAATTAAAGAAAACCACTTGGGGCTTGCAGAAGTTGTAATTGTAATGATGTGTTGATGTTGCTTCTCCTTGAACCTCTTTATGATTTCTGAATTCTCAGGTGCAGAGGGCCGTACGAAAAGAACATCACTGTGCAATGCTGCTCCATCACCCAAAGGTAAATCTGCTCTCCTCTCTCCCCCGTCATGTTAACATACTGTAGTCATTAATCTAAAACGCCTGCATGCCTGTTAATCCCCCCCCTCCCCCTCAATCATTCACGTCTCTCCTTGTCAGCTTTCACTCAATCCATCACACTTGCCCAAACACACTTTAAGAGATGCTGCTGCATTTTATTAAAGCAGAACACACACGCCATAAAGTTGTGTTTTTAATGTGCCATATAAATGCTCAATTGTTTTGGGTTAGCCTAAATTTCCACTTGCCGTGTTGCTTTTTATTTGCTGAACATGTTTTTAGCAGTTTAAGTAAAAGTACTTGTTGGGAGTAGTAAAATAAACAATAAAAGTCAGACATGTAATATAATTAGATTTATAGCTGTGCTGCAGACATTCTGTCTTGGCCAAAACATGAATAATGAAACGATGTGAATACTCACAACCAGTTTTATAGAGGGAAAACTGTACACATGGACCCTTTGGGGAAATGTAACACGAAAACCTTTGTGAAATATTGCAGTTCATATTGGCTGTAATGATATTTACTGCAGGTGGTCTACATTTCACTGAAACCTATTGTGGGAAATTTAACTTTTGAAGAAAATACTCTTGCCAGATGACCAGAGTTCCGTGAATGGAAATGAAACATGAAAGCACGAGGGAGTTTGTCACCACTGCTATTAAATCTCTTTGCAAGTTATTATAAAAAAAATCTGTTTTGCCTGTCTGTCTGACCCTTCTCTCTATGTCAAGCCAGTTGCTTTAGAGTTGGTTTTTTTCTCCCCATTTGGTCATTCATTGTAATTTTCTCATATTTTAACTTTTCTTTGCCAAAACATCTATCGCCGTCTTTCCACGCGTGTCAACACCTCCACACACTAATGGTATCACGATGGTAAGCTTTAACATTTTAGCAAAAAAACTTGTATCACTGAACTTTAACTTTATTCAGCATTTGACACACCCAAAATAAAACATTGGGGGGATTTGGTATTTGAGAAACACTAATTAATACTTTTTACCTTCCACTAATATAATGATGCTTAAATAATACCTATTATTACCCAAGGGCATAAAAATTATATAATCTGCAACCTTTAAGATACCGAAAGTAACTAATAAAATGTACCTTCTGCAATAGTTAACACAGCTGAACAGTAATTTCGCTCAGTATACCAGACACGAAAAGATGTCTGTTGACATTGTGTCAATAATGTCTACATCATACATACAGCAGCACCTTTAACAAATAATGACCTGTCCAGACATTCGTCCTATATTAACACAACATACATGCAAGCCATGCCTTGTGTAGGCTTTATCATAATGAATTACCATAAAGTACGATAAGTGTAATTTATTTAGCCTTTAAAAAGTGTCTTTGCATCACTATGTTCCCATAATTCAGATCACATATCTACCTTTTCAATCATAACTCTGTTCTTCTATTCTCTGGCTCACACTTGCATTTTTGAAAAGCACCATGTCCATCTTAATGTCAGAGCTACCACTCGCGCATGCATGTAGTATATACACACATATATATACACAATAGCTTCATATGTGTTGTGCAGCATTATCAGCTGTTCTATGTGGTCAATTATTGACAAAATGGTTTGCATGTGAAACAACACTTTTAACGCTTACACATAGCTTTTATAACGCTTATAACGCTTTTACATAGCATCCAGACAAACTGCTCTGATCTTATCCTGATGCTGTTTGGCAGTCCCTTACTGCTTCCTCAGCTCTTAATGGTAGTCACTGCAGCATGTTATGAGAAATAGCTCCACCCTGCAGTTTGCGAAGCCAATCAAATTTCCTTGGTTTTAGAGAGGGTTGAGGTTTTGAAAGAGCATTAACTCTTTGAGCACTGCTTAACAATAGCAAATCCCACAGAAGTAATCACTTGGAAGGAACACAATTCAGTGTTGTTTTAAAACGTGTCCACACATGCATTTATTAATAGCTTCATGATTTTTCATTCAGCTACCTCCCACTGCCTCCTTTATGCTGTTCTTTTTATATGTCAATTGAATCCTCAACCTCTCACTTCTCGTATCTATTCTTTCCTCCTTAGATTTTTTTGCTCAAACGTCCGTTAGTCTGGCTTTTTCCTCCATTCTACCTCTCTTTCCCTCCTACCCTGAAATGTTTTTCTCTGTCTGTCTAGCATCTAACCCTCCCAATCCCTCTTGAGCTTCATTCATGAAAATGCAGATCCACAGCAGGGCAGGAAAAAACGTCAACAGACGTAAGCTCCCCTGCTCCACCAACCAGAAAAGGCGCACTATAAAAAACAGGCAGCAGCAACCAGGCGACCCTAATTCAGCGCAGCCTCTACCAAAAATAGCAACTCATGCATGTATTAATCCCCTACAAGCCAAAAATATGTGATTGAAGGAACTCTGCTGCCATTTACTGCTAGGGACAACTCTGCCACAGAAAAGGGCTATTTGTCATCGTCTCCTCACACGGTGTGCTGTCTGAGGTCTGACTCACATTTGCTAAATATTGCATTTTGATATTTGAGGTAATGTCTAAGTCAGTCATTCACCTTTTCATTTAGTGCTCTTACCTCCTTTATGTGCTGGCATTTTTCCTTTTTAGCCCCCTCCCTAACCCCCACTCCACGCCAGCAGGAAATGCCATGAGCATAATGTGATGCAGGCACCGAGATTTAACCTCATTCTGCGCCGCAACTTGTGCAAGCTTTTGTTGCTGCTGTTTTTAAATGAAGCAAGACAATGTGGCAAAAAGTTACTGGATACAATTTCTTATATCAATCAGTATTTTAATACACATTGGTGTATATACTTTGGTAATCCTGTTTTAGTGTTTAAGATTAGTAATGCTGAATAAACCACAGGGTTCATTATCATAGGGGCTAAACATATATTTTGATTGTAATGATGCATGTAACGGCTCCATTCTGACATTGTAAAGTTTATATGTGCAGGGAGGGCACTATAATGTTTAAATGCCTTGTGGCATGCATAATGTCTCCTGATCACATTCTGATGCAATTTAAGGGAATAATCCATCGCATTTCTCTGTTGGGACATTTTTTAATTTGCACTGTTTAACCTAAGGCTGGCACTTCAGTGCTTATGACTGATTTAGTATGGGGGACGGCATCGTCTTGGGAGGGGTGTGTTTAGTGTTGCCATGCTTACTTTTTAAAGGGGTTTGATTTGCTTTCACTTTCAAAGCCCTTAGCTGTAACAATGCATTGATGTACTTCAAAGATGGCTTGTTTCAGATGCTGGCATCTGCAAAGACGTCTTGAAACGATGTCTGTTGCAGAGCTGATCGTTCCCTGAGCGGGCATTTTAGTCACGAAGTCACATGGTGACGTTGCTGCCATACCACATCCTATGTCATGTGATATTCTGATCAGCAAGCACAAACACGCAATATCAAAGAAAGTGAATGCAGAAAGCAGATTGCTGGGACGTTCCCCTGTCAATCTACTGTAGAGTTCTCCGTCCGATTTGATTCTCGTCTGTAATGTTCAATTATTTGCTTTTTGATAAGGAACCTTATAATTCTGTTATGAAACAGTTCCTTGTTAAAGCCTCTGTGTATTCTCACATCTTGAGTATTTTTCTGTAAAATTAAACATTCTTGACTAACAAAGTTAAAGTTTTGATCCGGTTTGATTGAAGTGCCGGACTTATGCAAAGAACCCACAACTTCCATCGGGTTTTGATTCAAATATTGCTGAACCCTGATTGGTGCATGAACGTATGTGACATGACCCCTTCTGCTCTAAACCAGCGGGAAGAGTACAGAAAGAAACATAAATACAGAAGTCTCTAATGTAGAATATCCAAAACTGTTCTGACTTTGGCAGAAGAAGTTGTGGTTCTGTTGGACCACAACACTAATAGTAAAAAGTTGTATCAAAGTGCTAAGCAGCTTTCTTTACACTCCCTTTATGACAATGTTCATCTTTCATAGGTTGTTAATTGGGTTGCATGGATTTAGGTGCGTTGTCAGTTAGGTTGAATAAATGTTATTGCTGCTTTGTTTAATTCCTATTAACTGTAAATAATTTTTTGTTTTGTGTATAGGTGAAGGAAAACAGACGGATATGAAACTGGAACCCCGTCCCAGAATGCCAATTCGGAGAAATTTGTCTGCGTCACTGCCACAGCAAAGCCCCCGGACCGTTGCCAAGGCCCAAGTGTTTGAGGAGGGCATGTTCCCACTCCAGTGCACACCAGAGCCTTCACTAAAGACTGTTTGGGCCATGCCACAGAGCTCCTCCAGCGCCATGGATCCCAACATGACATTTGAAGTTCTGGACAATGATGAACAAACTGCAAGTAATGCCACGATTACAATTAGCAGTGGCAGCCCCTGTCCAGCATCAACGTCAACAGACTTCTCTTGCCCCAGCCAACTGCTCCATCCTCCCGAGGCCGATGACGGAAACCGGATTCCTACTAAAAGGTGAGAAAATATCCAACACTTTTCTTTTGACTTGAGGATGTTTAACAGTGTATATGGTCATTTAGACACACTTCACATGATTTCAGAAGATATTTTCAGGCTGGCTTGTAATGTGGACGAGAGTCCTCTCGACTCTAAACATGCAGTATGTTGGTTCTGTTGGCAGTCCATATGGTGCGGCCGATTAACACATTAAAGTAGTCGTAAACGAATGCATCAATACACCCACACACCGCCTACTGCACTCCTGTGGTCCCTCCAAAATGTTCTGCTACAATAGTGCTCACTTCTCTAAACGGGAACATTTGGAAGAAAAATGTAGGAAACAACAAAAAAATACTTCTGTAACGTCAGAAAGCAAAACCGAACATCACAATCAAATTGTTGACATTTATTTTTATAAGTCAAGTTCAGAAGGACATGAGCAGCAGCTGCCATGATGTATCAAAACCATTTGTCACATTTTCTTGCCTCCTGTTCACCAAACAATTTATCTGAACATGCTTTTAACAAGAATCGTGTGCATAGTTCCATTTTTTTTATGTGTATGTAATGGCAAAAAAACTATTACACAATATTGTTTCCGGGTATGTCACTACAGACACCCAGTTTGTAATACTGCAAGTATCCCAATACTTTCATCAGTTGGCTATAGGCTCAATTACCATCGTTTTAGATTATTTGGGGATAGATAGTGACTAAACAGGCATTTATTTATTTGAAAATTCTCCAGATTGTGTCTTTAAATGTGGGAAAATCTTTAAATGATCTGTTTTGAAGCTTTTAACAAGAATATCAAACACAAATGATGAATGTCATTAACTCTCTCTTGTTGAGTTTCAAATGTCGGGGGCATCTTTTTCTTGGTGTTTCTAAAGAAATTGGTACGGATGGAAAAAACACTCCATATGTCACCCATGCTTATCTTGTTAATGTGTCTTAACTTAAAAAACTGTTGAGTGTTCATGCCTTTTTAAACCCGGACAGTTCTTGTACCACACATTATGAATTAATCATTATTCCCCGAAAGTATAAATTATTACATTTTTAAGCAAGCCTAGTTGCAATAAACAGAAAATTGCATTAAGAACAAAATCTTTATAAAAACATTCTTCAAAATGGGTTCAGAGGGAATGAACAGTTCCATAAAATGTTTAAAAACATATCTCTCTAGCTGCCCACTGAGAGTTTCATAGCAACTGAAGGATTCTGTGTAAAAGACGCTCGGTGCGGATGGCAACTAAACCATTCAGAAGTGATAAATCCCCCAAACCTTATTCAAAACAAGACAAAGACTGGAGGGCAAACAGTATACGAATTCTCACCAGCAGCAAGTTTCCAGACTGGAACATTGGGCCCCGAGGCTTAAGTCAGCTAAGTAGGGGCGAACAGAAGAGGAAACATTTTGAGCCACAGCATCAGACGGGGTTTGTGTCAGTGAATAATGCGGCAAGCAGATGAGCCCCCACATTAACACATTGACCGTGTATTAGTTTATGTGTTGCGAACGAGCCTAAAAATCAAAACGCATCACCTCAATCAAGGAAATAGCAGTTGCTTGGCAACATTTGTGGAGTTGTTTTTCCACTCGTGTTAAAGATCGGGGGCTAATCCAGACTTCATGCGAGCACTTAGCACTTGGCTACTAAGTTGTCCTGCAACAGACAGGGCAACACAAGAGGGAGAAAAAGTTTTACATTTATTCTCTAAATCTGATACTTGGTGTATTTTATGTTGTAGAAAAAAACGTTAAAATCTCTTAAGCTTGTGTTAACCACAGACCTCGTTTCAGGTGTTTAGCCAAAAACCCCGTTATATTTTAGACGGGGGAACCGGAAGTACAAACATGCAAACTCATTTCCGGGCTTTAGGACTCATTGCTGCAGCTCTCTATACATCCATGGTTCGTCTGCGTTTTGATAGTTTATTTAAAGATTGAATCCAAAGTGGCAGAAACGGAAAACGCCTCGTCCTCTCCGCCTCTGTGATGCTACTTCGCAGGGACTAGAACCCCCCCGCCCCAGTTAGCGGTTAGCTCAAATTCAGCCAATGTAAACTCCAGCTCCGGGGGCGTTGCACAAAGATGCCTAACGTGAACTATAGGCGGATGCAGAGAGCAGTGTTATCGGCTCTCGGAGTTTCAGCAGTTTGGTTGAATTTTGTGTATTCAATGATTGATGGCTGTAAATTGACATTGTATGGACCCAGTAGTAGAGGTGAAATGCCGCCCCCTATTATTTTTGGAGGCATGTTGCCCGGTATTGAACATCGTACCTTTAAACCTTACATCAGCATGTATGGACCTGCTAGGGGATTGTGAGGTTACATGGGGTTAAAAGATATCAAATATATCTTCTAAAACAGGAACACCCAACATTCATCTACACATTTTGTAACTGCAGGTGCCATGAGGAAATAAAATGCCACAAATTTATTTGACAGACCACAACATTTGCATATCCCAATCCCTGAACACAAGTGCATTGCAACAAAGCATCAAATATCAAGAGTTAAGATTTGTATACACATTGCTTTTGCAATACAATACAAGCCAATTTAAAAGTTATAAGCTATTATGATTTTGAATATAAAGGGAAATGTTCCTTATGTGAAGTCCAAACCGTGGAGATGTGATGGTAACGTGACCTTCTGCTCTGTAGACAACCGATCTCATCTTTACAAGACTTGAGACGAGCCCACCGGACCTACATGGCCATGACGTCTGCTGCGCAAGGGAAGCGTAAAGTTACCTGGTAATGTGCCTCTGCCTTTTCCCTCTTGTGTTCATGTAAATCAGCTTATTTTATACCAGCAGCGGATTAAACACTCTGCTTCAACATATGTATAATTGCTTGCAGCCGGACCAAAGCTGGTCAAAACTGTCACCAAAATAACAAAATTCATAGCCAGGTCTGAGTAGTAGTATTATTATTATTATTATTATTATTATTATGATGAAGGAATCCAGTTATTAATGTTGTGATTGATGACTCTATTTCATTCACTGTACCAGCATCCAAGAAGAGTTAACACAGGGTGTCTCTGCACCAAAGCGCATAAAGAAGGACCCCTCGGTGGCCCCCAGGCCGCTCAGAGTGTGTCGTTTTGCTGGTAAGTGACAACACAGACAAACGCAGCTAAAAGAAACTGACCGGATATTTTGCAACATAAGATCATTTTCCGATGAAATTTTCATTCGAACAAACCCGAATGTGATTTGTTGTTTTTTTTCACTGTGGTGAGTTGTTACCAGAACTATTTACTCTCTTTATGTAGATGTGTTCATTCTTGCTACTAATGCTGGTTTACTTTGGTGTCTGTGCCCAGGTTCAGAGGAGAACAAGCCTCGGAGAGTTGTGAGGAGCGTTTCTGAAGGGAATCTTCTTGACCCTCAGAAATCAAAGTCCTTTTTTTATAAAACGTCCCAACAGTTAAAACGAGTGGCCAAAAGAATGTAAAGCAACATGGTGTTTGAATCGCACCGGTTTGCTTTTATGAGCACCCTTCTCCAACCGCATTCATCTTTCCAAAACATCTTCTCCAAACCTAAAACAAAGTGTTTCCATTGTGTAGGTTTCTCCAACCGAAATGAAAATGTAACGAGACGAAATGTAATATAAGTTGCACTATTTAGTTTTTGTCTTCGATCTGGCCTCGCACTGCAGTGACATTTTACTTGACTTATACATAAACATTGTTTAGGACATCTGTATAGATTATAGTTGAAGGATCCTTTTTTTTTTAATCATTTCTAAACCTCCCTTTAGATTTGAACATATTGAAACACTCGTGTTCACACTAACAGCAAGAATAAAAACATGTACTGTGGCTGTTTTGTGGTTTACACATGTTATGTATTTTCCACTATTCTCTCAAAAGTGATGGGTTATACATTACCTCAAATGGATGTATGGCTGCAAACTGAAACTGAAACTGCTCTACACTGAGCTGTTTGTCTTTTGTATCCCTTTTTTTAATCCTGTACAGTTAGTAACATAGGGTAATAGATATTTCATAATAAAAGTCCTTGTAACAGAATCTGTGGCTGTTTTTCAATAAGTAAATCCCTTTCCAAAATGTAATATCTGCTTTTTTTGTGCTATTGATGTTGAGCCTGACTGGGGTTTTCAATGACGTTTGAGTTACAAGATGTTCCGATGATAAATAAGTGACGTAGGCCCGGCTCAGAAAATACAACAGCAAGAAAAATGTAACTGACCTGGGAGTGACTCGCAGCATAACTCTCAAAGATAACTTTCTTATTGTCTTCCTATTGAAAAAGCAACCGTTTCATATGCCTTTTAGGAAAAAAGGTAAACCTCAAGTGTAGTGATTGAGATGCTATTTGTTTCCACCAATGCCTCAGGATGAAGAGTGTACTTCACCTTTAAACAGACTCAAACGCCGATGTCCAAAACTTCAGTTAAGATCCACAATTTTCAAATATACAAAACAAAAGTCTACAGTCGCTGGAACAACATGGTCAGATGGTGAAATATGTAGCCGAAAAGGAGTGAAATGAGTTGGCTAACTAAATAGCAGTAAAACAGTTGCAGCGGCTATGAATGAAGGAAAACATAGCCTATTGTAATGTCCAGCTTCTGCCAATTCAGTTGTAAGAAAAAAACAATAATGTAATGTATTTCTTTCAGGCTATATAATATTCAGAGTTAAATAACGTCCCGTTTAAATAAGTGTAGCTACTTGAGCTCATCTGAAAAGGCTTTGGGAAAAAAACAGGTTGGGAACCACTGCTAAATACGTCTTTTGAATTGTATTTCAAAGATATATTTAGGCTTTCCTGTGTTGCATTTTTAGCCTGATCAAATGTGAAGAATTGCCAGGAACAAGCTTTTATTAGAATTCTGTACTAAAAACGAACGTCAAAAAATGCCTGCCGGATCTATGATGAGGGTGGGACCTCATTGCTCTGTCTGGAGAGAACTAGACTTGTCACTTTCAATTCAGTCTTGCAACTTTCAGTGGCACAGCATTCAGTGTGATCTTTATTTTTAGCTCAGGAGCTCAATGCATATATCAGCACTGTACTGCGCAAGCACTGACACCCTCTCATGCTCTCATTCACAAGAATCTCTTCATTGTGTGTGTGTGTGTGTGTGTGTGTGTGTGTGTGTGTGTGTGTGTGT